TTTTTAACGTCTTCTATTTTTTAAAGCATTGAATATTTTTGGTGCATCATCATAGAAGATTTTGCCTTTACAAGGTATTTGTCCATCTTACATAAGTGCATAAAAAATTTGAACGTCTTACATGAAGAAACCTTACCTACGGTAAACACGTGGTTGCAGAGAAATGTGTTCTGAAAGGCGTTCCTTGGTTGTGTTCTGTTGTTCGAAAAGTTTCTGAACAATACTGGTAAATAGGGAAGCTAGATAATGGGGCAGATGTTGAAAATAATGAAAGATCTAGGAAGAAAAGTGAAACTGATTTTATTCTAAATGGCGTAATTTGAAGCTTTTTCCAAAATGCGAGAAATTTGCGAATTTTGAAATTGATTTATAAAATGCGCGAAATTCTCGCGGTAATCATTTTTTAATGCGAGAAAAGAAAAAAATATGCGAGATTTTCGCATTCTCGCGCTGTAGTGAAAACACTGCACCGGATATAGGTCAATATTTATATGCAATGTAAGTTAGCTGATGCTATATATGCTATTTCATTGCTGTAGTAGTATGCAATTATGCATTTGTAAATTATGTACTGATGTATACCTTTAACAGGGCATAGGTGCAAGATGGCACACATGTGCTGTTGTAGGTAATATAAATAAACTACTCAACTAATGACATGATTTACTGTTACATTAGTGTGAACATGAACTTATATATTTCTATTTAATGATATGTTGGATTTGTTTTTATGAACTAAAATATGAATATTATTTCGTTTAAATTTTACTATTTATTTTTTAGCACCTACAAAAAAGTACGCTGAAATTCTTACTAAAACAACAGCAGAAGCAAAAACTCGTATCTCCCAGGTACTAACTTATTCTATGTACTACTTTTTTTTAAGCATTTTTTTTTATAAAATACTATTTAAAAATATATTTATTAAACTGGAATATTTTTCTTGGATTTCATGTTTATTCTTAACATTTATTTTGTTCTGTTGTATAAAAGTTTAATAATCTATAAAAGGAACAATGTTTTTATTATTTGAAATTTAAACTTTTAAGCTTGAGATGAATGAAACTGGTGTGTAATAAAAAATAAATACTATAATACACTGAAATTCTTACTAAAACAACAGCTTTAGCAAAGATTGGTATACCCCAGGTACTAAATTATTCTATGTACATTTTTTTAAATATATTTTTATAAAATATATTTTATAAAATATTATTTAGTAAATATGAAAATTTTTCTTGCATTTCATGTTTATCTTAAGCAGTTATGTTGTTCGATTTCATAAAAGTTTAATAATCGTAAAAAGAAACAGTGTTTTTACTATTCAAAATTTAAACTTTTGAACTTGAGATTTGTGGATGAAAGTGGTATGTAATAAAAAATAAGTTTTGAATTAATTAGTCTTTAAAATTTATCTTATAAAACTTCTTCGAAATATTTTTTCCCGGGTTCTTATCAACCTTCTGATGGCTTTTGCAAATGGGCAAATGATTTTCCACTTCCATTTTTCAAATAGAGACTTGTTTTATTCAATCACTTTTGTTATATTCTTAAAAAAAAAAGCTATATTGCTCTGTTCTCAGCAATTCAAAACCAAATCAATTTTGCCATGCTGAGAGAGTTGCTAGTCAAACTGTACATTTTTACAAGCATGACCACCTCAGAGTTACCTAAGTAATAGCAACATTACACCCATGAACAGTACAATACAATGAAGAATGTTGTGAAACATAAATTTTTCTATCGTCTGTGTTAACTCCTACATGACATATTCCTTTCATGAATCTATCTTTGTTAATAATTCTTAAACAACATTGTTAACAGTGGCGCAAATCAAGTTTGATTAACCATAAAGATATCTTTATTTTTAAATAAATGTTACATTTCTTCATTTACTAAATCTCTCCATACAAATCTTCATTTACTAATCCTTTCAAATTTAAATTTTTATAGACTATTTTTCTGCTACCAACATAGGAGTTTATACATATATAAAGTTTTACGATAAGTGGCAAATTTTTTGTCTGCTATGCCTCTATATTTATTAATTGATAACAATAGTAACTCGATAAAATTAAAAGCTTATTACATTATACAGGCTGATTCTACTATCATGGGACAAACTTGGGGGGGCGGGGGTGAGCGCACTAAAACATGTATTTTTTAAAAAAAAAATTTGTATAAGAATGTAGAGTCTCAGATAACGTATTAAGGTATGAATGAATGCATAAAAAAAAAGACACAGAAAGAAAAATGTGTTAAGTAATGCAAAATGCTTCTTTGCAGAAATGTAATTCATATTCACAAATGTTAAAATTTAGACCACCAACAATAATACATGCTTAGAAGTGTTGTAGAATAGATTGACGAAAATGTTGGAAAATAGCAGATATTTCTCACACGCTTGCAGTCACAATGAATAGCTAAGCAATGTGGTTAGATCCTACATTTCTATATAAAAAAATAATTTAAAAATACATGTTTTAGTACACTTAACCACCACTTTTCCATGAATTTAATAACTTTAGAAAATTAGAAGTAAAGATTCATTAATTTTTTTTATAACTTTATCATACTTTAAAATTTATTTTTATTTAAATTAAATCTAATACATCTAAAATAAACATAATGCTTCAAATATCTAACTCATAAAAGATTGTTTATGTTTTTGAAATGAAGTGATTTGTTGCTCTGAATTTATAAATTTTTGTTAATCAATATACTAATTTTAGTTCCTCTCTTCCCAATTAAATATGAAATTTCAAGAAATCAACCAATAAATGATTGTGTATGTATTTTAGGAAAAAGATATAGTTTAATCGATGTTCTTAGCTTATATAGACATAAAAATTACACTAATTTTAAGTTTCTACTGTAATATTTTCCTAAAAAATATATATATTAAAACTAGCTTCTTAAATAATAAATTTTTTTTTTATAATTTTTTTTCCTTAAAGAAAAGGGTGGGATTTTGAAGATACATGAGATCAATTAGTATTTAAATATAAAAAAAAGACTTATTTTTCTTAAATCAAATGTTTAAACAATAGTATTTGTAAAAAAACCTCCGATTTTGAGATTTTCAAAAACTTGTTTTTCATCAGTTATGAGTGCTGAAACAGGAGAAAAATAATAATTGCTTATTTTTCTTATTGGATAGATTTCTAAAATGTGCAGATGATAGAAATTGTTTCCCCCTTCCAATAGCTTACATTTATTACTGGAATATATTTACATAAATGAACTGCTTTTTTTCTTTTTATTTCTGCATGAAAATTTCTTATTTAAATGATCAAAAGTGTGTTATGTAAATAATTTGATATATCTTTTGTCATTATCTTTAGAAAATTAATATTAATTATCTGTGTGTGCAATATTAGCATTGTGTGATATAAATATACAGGATTCCTATTCTTAAAAGCATTGTTAATTTATATTTAAAACCTATAGATATATTTCTTACAATTATCTTCATTCTATTTATTACATTATTTTGATGAATCTCTTATATTTATTATAGGAATAAAGGGTATTATAGGTTTATTATAGGTATAAGGTTTAAAACTCATTTTCTTGGACCTGAAACACTTATATATCACCTAGCAGTATAAATATGCTAACAGCATTGGTATTTTCAAAATATGCTAAATGAATTTTTTGTACACATTCGATAAAAGAATGAATTAATGAATGGATTTTCATTAAAAAAAAAAGTGTACTAAAACTGCTGATCTACACTGGTGTAAGAAATTAAGAAGATTTGCAGACTTGGTCAATTCCTCTAGAACTATTGGACTGATTTTAATGAAATTTGACCTGTACATACATTCATACAAAACAAATAACCAATCAAAAATTGTAATACACACGCATGATCGTGCGTAACACTCGTTGGAGCCGGAAGGTATAAAACAGCAGTTGCAGAATAAACAACAAAAAAATTTGTTAATTGGTGGTATGTTCCCCTCTTACATAGAATGATTTAATACTTGAAATAAGGCAGTTTATCATTTCCTGTGGCAAATGGTCTTACTCATTCAGCCACGCTGTTTTCATTCCCTGGATAGTTCTCGGTGGGGACAGCGAGCTGCTATTGCCCTCCCTAGAGCATCCCAGACATGCCATAGGGTTGAGGTCTGGAGATCTGGCTGGCCAATCAATCCAGCAAATATCCTCACTCTGTAGAAATTCATCGACCAGGAGAGCTCCTTGTGGCCTCGCTTTATCGCCATTGAAATGAACTCAGGGCCAACTGCACCCCTTAAAAAGCGAACATAGGGCTCCAAGACCTCATCCCTATACCTCACACTAGTCACAGAGCCTCTTTCAAAAACATGGAGAGGTGTGCGGCCATCCAACATGATGCCTGCCCAGACCATTAAGCCTGCTCTGCCATAATGGTCGATTTCTCAGACATTGAAGGGTAAATAGCAAATCCCTGGTTTGCTCCATATGAACGTATGGCAAGAATTGGTGTTTAGACTGAACCAGGACTCATCAGTGAAGAGAACGGTCGCCCCTTGATCCATACTCCAATCTCTACACCAGGGGTGGCGAACCTTTATGCACCAACGTGCCATTTTTTCTAAAAAATTGTTTAATGAGGTCATAGACGTGCCGTCAAATGATTTTGACTTCGCGATTATTGAGAAAATAATAATACAAAATAATATCAACTCAAAACTATATTTATTATTTAAAAAAAAAATAAAAACACACATTTTGCAATGTCTCAGTCATATGCGTAATTCAACCTAAAGTAACATCAGTATGACTTCTGTTGTTGCAGATTAGATGACAAATAACTTATATTAGGTTGTAAGATGTTAGTTTAAGCAGGACTGTTAATTTTTTTTTGCTAGTTATTTATTGTTCGCCTGTTTTTTATGGTTATTAATTGTTTTTTTTTTTGGCATTAATTGTTAATTTTTTTGTTAATTGTTCATTTATTATTTTTGTTTTTTGTGAATTCTAATTTAATTGTTAATATGCTTCACAGTGACCTTTGTGATCGGTGGCGTACCCAAGATATTGTGGCGCATGCCAAAAGTGGCACTCGTGCCATTGGTTTGCCACCCCTGCTCTACACCATGCTGCACAGACTTGTTCGTAGAAGCAAGCGGGGTGCAAACAGCAGGTGTTCTTGCAAGCAACCCTCTCTCATGAAATTGTTTGGAAACAGTCACCCTTGATACACGGGATCCTGTGGCTTCATACAAGTCACGAGAGAGTTGCAGCTGTAGCCCCCTTTGTTATAATGGACAATTGATCTTCTCTGGCTCTTGGACGATCTTGCCAGGCTTTCTCTCGGTGGATCCGATATCCTGGAACTGTTTCCATAAGTTACACAGGACGCTGGGCGTTAAATTGAACAGACTACAAATCTGGACCTGAGATTGGCCTGCTTCTAGCCTCTCCACCTCATTTCATCATCTAAACGTTGGTGGTTACTCATTTTTACAGTTACAATTGGAATTTAACCTATTGCTGCAAAATAACACCAAGAAATTCGTAGATGTGTGCTAGCGAACAAAATTTGTCTTAACTTGCGTGCACTTATAAAGCCTGTTTCTCTACTGGCTCCCCTCACACACACACATACAATCACCTATTTGATGTATAAGTTTTGCATTGTCGAGAAGCAGTGGTTTTACATTCAGTTCAGTTCTTTTTATGAAATTGGATAAAATATGCTAATTCTCTTAATTTATTTCACTAATGTATTAATAAGTAATGAAACTCTAAAGTTAAATGTTAATCGAATGCTATAAACTTATTAAACAGAAATTGGTGGAATCTGGAGTATGTTTATCATTAGAAGGCATAAAAGATACCTTAGAAATTCTAGAAGGAGCAGTTATGATTGTTTATCCTATGGGCCTTCCACCATATGAGATTGTACAGCAGGAGCTTGAAGGTAAAGAGGATTTGACTGGAACACAAGTAATTATAAAATTTTTGTATTATCTATTTCATTTTATAACATTATTAATAATAAATAACCAAAAATTTTTTGTAAATAGGCTAGCAAAGAAGTTTTGATAGACAATAAAGCTGAAATTTGGTGGGCGAACAAAAATTTAGACAAGGATAAAATTCTTAGCGATTATGTTGGCAAGAATGAAAAAAGTAAACTAGTAGTAAAGTTACAAAAAGTAAGTTTAATTTTTTAGTGACAAAACTACATTTTCTTTATGTGTTTAAAATATAAAATTTTTGTTAATAATATATTTTGATGTTTTTAACAGATTTACACAGCAATTCTATATTTGGACAATAAAAACATTTTTGTAGTACACTGCGGCAGAATTATACGACACACATTTAATTCTTAAAGAACTTATGAACTACTTAAGCTATTTATCTACCATTTAATTTTCCTGCTTGGTTACAAAATTGACTTTATAAATCTCATTTATTTATTTATTATTATTTATTTATTTGCAATTTATACATTATAGTTGTATGCTGCATATCATATTGAGTTTGTTGATCAAACTAATGCAATATTTATTTTTACAGACTTCTTTCAATTAAAAAGTAAAGTAGAAACAATGTAAAAAGTATGAATATGCAAGAACACAAATGCTAAACATTTTGGTAACATAAGTTTGGTATTTTCTAACATTTTAACTTACGTTTGTGCTAAGACAGAGAATTAAGTGTAAATATCCACGATGTATGTAACCTAGGGATGCTCAAAGAAATGATCCCTGTCATTCATTAAAATATTATAATTTAATGTTGTTATATCATGATTGAACCAGAGTACAGAAAATGTTAAATAAAATACAGAAATCTGCAATACGTTTTGATAAAATTATGTTGTATTGGAGCTACTAGATAATTATCAAAGTTGAAATTGAAAACGAAAATGCATTTTGACTTGGTATTTTTATGGTTTAATAAGAAAAAAATAAATTGCCTTTAATATACATTGAACTGCAATGTTTAAACTAGAAAATAAATTTCGTATATGGGATTAACGATTCATAAAAGCGAAAGTAAATTTTAAAAAAATTTAAAGAAAGGCAAATATGATTTAGATATTATGAAGATTTCTACAGACCATGCAATATCATTTTTTTAATCTCCCCCCCCTCATACGGTAATAAAATATATATTTCACTACCTTCTCATCAATGGTGGTCTCATCATTCTTATTTCATTCAAAAGAAATTCAAGATGTATAAAATTTATAGTGTGACATCAAAGGAAATAGCTGTTCAAGCAATTTATATAAACATTTTCCTATCAAATGACTCATTCTCAGTTGAATCTTTAATAAATATATATATATTTTTTAGAAGTACAAAAAATTTTAAATGTTAAAAGAAAAGCATCATAAATTTGGTTGCTTTATTGAGATTAACAATATGCAAATAGTAATTGAGAATGAAATAGGTCATTAAAATAATTCAAATTAATCACGCTTCTAAATACTAGCAAAGGGGACTATGTGGATTGGTTTTAAAAATGTAAAGATCACAGTATTAAGACATTGTTCTAGAGACTGTGCATTAATTGAAGTATCAAGTTTTGTGCTGCGACTCATTAAATTGCATATCTGAGTTTTTAAACTCTTGTACGCTTGGATTTCTTTCTTTCATAATATACAATAACAGGTTTTTTTTAATACAGAAAAACGATGGTTATGCAATGCCTGATCATATGACTCTACATTCCTTCCATTTCATCATTATTAAGGATAAAGGAGCATTTGAATGGGTTCAAAGATAATATCGAAAGGATTTTATTCGATGCCTTATTATTAGAAATGAATTGGATAAAATAACATCTGAATCTGATGATTTTGGTAGTAATGTACAGTGAGTAGAAATATATATATCACCCTGAATAACTTTTGTTCTAATGATCTGATTTTCACATACTAGGTGTCAATCTTAATGGTTCCTAGGGGCGACCTTAAATATGCTAATTATGAATTAAGTTACGAAATCGGACACAAAAAACGTACTTTCTATAAATAAACGTAATTCTTTTTACATATTTGGAATTTTAAAGTTCAAAATATGGTGGATGCAGAAGACATGTTAACTACATATATTGAGTGGTTTTTGTAAACAGAAGTAAGTTGCACAGTAACTGTCGTGATAACCAATCTTGTCTGTTAGAAAAGGACAATTAATCAGAAAACAAGAATGTATCAATTTTTTATCATGTTGTATTGTTATTTATGGTAGAAAAAGAAAACATAGGCGTTTGTATTGTTATTTATGGTAGAAAAAGAAAACATAGGCGTTAAAAAAGAGCAACTTTACAATAGTCACTATTTATGTTTTGTAATTTTACTCATCGTTTGATGTTCATTACCTAAAAACCGAGTTCAAAATATCCCCCATTTGACTTTTCGACACTGCCATGTTACAAAGAATATTGGATGATCAGGAGTACAACTGTATTTAGTTCCAAAATATAATTAATATTTTGATCTGGGTATCTGCTTTAAATTATTTTTATTCTTAAAGTAATTTCATTTTATTTGCTTTGTAATTTTTTTCCTTCTAATTATCTAATATAAAAAAACATTTTGCAGCAAGGACATGGAGCTCCTGGTAGAGAACCTATTTTAACTGAGCAACAGAAAAAACATTTGATGTTGGCTGAGTTTCAAAGAAGAGAAGAATTTAAAGTGAGGAAAAATTTACTATAAATTTTAAATTAGTCATTAAAATGCTTAAGAAGTATAATTACTTGAACTACAGAACTTGGTGATTTCATTAGTTGTATTTTATTGTTTGTTAAAATAACAAGTAATTTAACCAGCTGTTACAGTTGAAGCTTGTTAAGGTTTAAAGTTGTGAAACCATCTTCCAAGAGATCATTTCAATGAGATGTTCAATGTACAAAACGGAAAATCTTAATAACTTTTAATCTAATGATCAGATTGTCATATACTTCTTATCTGCGATCTTATTACAATGTAATATTAGCAGTTTTGTGGGATTACTTTAAATATACTAATTAATTTTTGAATTTTTTTTTTAAAATAAAGCTAATGTAAACAAAGTATAAGTAATAGCGCAAAAATGGACAAGTTACACTGAATTCATCCTTTCATTGTGATCCTTTCTTTTTCAGACAGAGCAAGAAATAATATAGGCCCAATTGAAATTTTTTTTTTTTTTGTGTATTTTGTCATAACTGTGAAACTATTTGAGGATTTAATAAAAATAAATATTTTCACACAATTTTACAATTTACTTATATGTTTATGCAAAGATAATTTCATGCAAAATATGATATTCTAATATTATTTATTACTTAATATAATGTTTCAAGCATTTTTGAATATGAAATTTTAAAGACTAATTTTACTAAGCAAAATACAAAATTTGAAGATAAGTTTTTGAGTAATTAATTAAAAAANCAAGTTATACTGAATTCATTGTGATCCTTTCTTTTTTAGACAGAGCAAGAAATAATTTTGTCATAACTGTGAAACTATTTGAGGATTTAATAAAAATAAATATTTGCACACAATTTTACAATTTACTTATATGTTTATGCAAAGATAATTTCATGCAAAATATGATATTCTAATATTATTTATCACTTAATATAATGTTTCAAGCATTTTTGAATATGAAATTTTAAATCATTTTAAAGACTAATTTTACTTAGCAAAATACAAAATTTGAAGATAAGTTTGTGAGCAATTAATTTAAAAAAAAAAAAATTCATTTAAGTATTAAGGGGTACAAAAAGTACTGTTTCATTTTTTATTTTGTGCACTGTACACTCTTATACTGTCTGTGCTCTTAAAACATTAATACAGAGGATATCGAATTGCTGTATAGGACCAGAATGTTGGATATCTTTATCATTAACTGACAAATCTGTCAACATGAGCATCAGGTCAATAATTGTCAAAAAACTGACTCATCCTATCCTAATAAACGTTTATAGATTAAATCTGGAATATTTGAATATTCATAAATTGCTTTTGCTATACTGGCATACAAAATTAATTTTGCCAGTTTAATTATTTAAGACTCAAATGTAAGACTATTTTTTGAAAGGGGTGGGGATTTTATGTTTAGGGGATTTAAATGCTGAATATAATTTTAAAATTAAATCATGCTTACAATGTATATTATATTACCATTAATTTTCATAATTTTGTTTTTCTTCTTGATGCAGCATTTTTGATGTTTTTTTTTTTTTAAATATAAAATCTTCCTTTTGTTACATGAGTCAGGAAAAATTTGATATTCTATACTATGCTTCATTTATAAATGCTATATAAATATGTATATGTGAATTTTAGCTAAATGAATTTAAAACATTGCCAAATGCCTAAAATAAATTCTTTTCCTACATTTTAGAGATTAGAAATTGATGATGATGATTCTCATCTAGATTCTCAATGGGCAGACAATAATGCCTTAAAGAAAAATTTTCTTGGATTAAACAAGATAAGATTTAAGTGATAGTAATTGTATCTTGTTAAATTGTGGACTATCTACTAATTTATATGTATGTATATATTATTAAATGCATTATAATTCAAGCTTGTCATAAATTGAATAAATATCAACATACTTTTCTTTCATTTATTTTCGTTACCATGAAATGAGAAATTTAAATATATTGTAAAAAATAAAATATTACAACAAAAGTGATTATCAATTAATTTTCTTAAAGACAAATTTTACTTTCATTTCCATTAAATTTAAATTATTTAATAAAAAGTATTTGGCCTCCTGATAAATCAAAAAATTTAAACAAGCATTGTAGCAAGTTTGCTTTTGTAGTTGTGCTCTATCACATTTTAATGTTAGAACTATCAATTCTAAAATACTAAGTCTAAAAATTATACAAAAATTATTCGGTAAGCAAGTCTCTCTAATTTTCTTTACGCCTGGTTTAGATATCTTTTATAAACTTGATATTTTACATATTTTAATTTATCTTATTGCTTGGGATTAACGCAAGATTAATTAGAAAAAAAATTAATTTTTGATATAAACACTGAGGGAAACTTTAAAAAAAAAACAAATGTTAAAAAACAGTGATTGTATAGTCTAACAATTTTTAATATTGTTTCAGATCTTAATTTGGTTTCTGTATCTCTCACACTAAAATAATAATAATATAACATAGAGAAAAAAACATCATAGATTATTCTTTATTGACTGTACAATTATTATGTTTGTTATGAAACATACACAAAATTATTTAACACTGTACAACTGTTTATAAAAACACTAATTTACACCACATTCAGGTTTGTAAAAAATACATTTTTAATTTACAGTTGCTAAAATAAATTAAAAAAAACAACAACATCCAATTGAATTTCAACCATTTCGGTATTTTGATCAAATTCTTTGTCATAGCTAAAGAGAGTCACTTAAGGATATGTTTAATTATTCATAAAAAATCAAATAGTTAAAAAATTTTTAGTCAGTATATAAGTGCACTGATAATTATAACAGCATTTATATTTAGCATCACAAAAAAAGAGGAGTTAAACCAAATTCAGTATAAATGGCATAGATTGCTATGAGTTTTAGTTTTATGATCTTAGTTCAGTGTATTTAGCCATATTTTGGCAAATAATAAATAAATTAAAAATGTTTTTGAAAGGCTTTCAAAACTTCATTAACTTGACTATATAATATTTAAAAAAAAAAGTCTTCAGAAATTTATCTTTATAATTTAAATTAACAATTTTTAAGTAAACAGTTTTTCTAAGATCAAATCTTGAGTTTCAAAATCAAATTAAAATCTAAAGCACAAAAAATAAATTCAGTTCGAATTTTAAATCTTTCAACTAATATATTTACAAAATTTTCATGATCCTTTACTCTTCAGTGCATGAAAAAAATTATATTTAATCAGCGTGAATGACACCCTTGTGAATCCATTATGAAATTTATATATTATATTAATAATATATGTTAGATATGAGATGGTTTTTAATTAAATTTATGTAAGTTTAAATTTCATTTATAAGCATGTATTTGTTCGTTTTTTCAAAATAGGATTTTTGTTTTTTCATGAAAGCATATTTTTATTAGATTAGAAGTAAATCATGGTGTTCTTTTTAATTTGCTGTTAATAAACACTTAAATGCATAATAATTATATTCTTGGCTACATAAATATTTAAAAATAAAAAGTATAGTAAATAAAAAAAAATCTAATTAATTTGAAAATAAAGTAAAAGCTCTACTCTCTCGACTGCTATTAAAAATTCTAAAATCTGAGCGAGGCTTGTATAAATCGGATGTATCATAGCTTTTGCTGCTTTTTGACCTGTAAAATATTAAGAAGAATTACATTTTTAATACTTTTTACCATAAATATAAAGCAATAATAATATATCCAACAAGTTTCTAATAAATGATCAAGACAACACACAATTGTTATTGAATTACAACATGCAAGCACTTAATTTAGATATAAGCATGAAATTCAAATAAAAATATCGAGAGATGTTTCTCTCTCACTAATAATATGAACAACAAAAAATATTAATACCATGATTTTAATTTGAAATAAAAAAAATTAATTTTTCCTAGTTCTGAATGTAAGAGTGAAAACTGTTTTTTTCTACTGTTCTTTACGTATGGGAGACAAAGTGGCCTCCAAGATCCACTTTCTATCTATCATGATGCCAATTCAGTGCTTTGTGTAAGATTAAGATGGATAGGAAAAATTCTTTTCTTTTTATACATAAAATTATCAGCATTCCTTTTAGTTTTTACATCACAAGCTTGCTATACTATTCATCCAATTTAGATGTGCTTTGTGTAATTTTTTAATAATTTTCTTTTCTCTTACTACTGACCCAGGCATCAAAATCTGAACTTTTAGTCCATATTTTTTATTATCCATATTGCAATATTTCTATATGTTATTTAATAGAGTCATGGGACTGCAATACCGTGGACAATTTCAAAACCTTTAAATTGCACTTAAAATTCCAATTTTATTGATTCAAAGAAATGCTGCAGAAGTAAGTAGATAGAGTTTATGATAAAGTGGACTTGGATTGTAAAGAACTGGTGAATTAGTGAAATTATATATTGCATGTTTAGTTTGGGAAGGCAGAGGAACATGTAGAACTGTGAAGTGGTTAGTTTGTGGTCAATAGGTCGTCTTGTGCTGTAGCATATATATGTTTATATCTTGTCTGTGTGTTTTAATGCAAGAATAACTAACAAATGTTGATGTGGCAAAAGTTTGTGTCTAACTAAATCAAAAAAAAAAGATTGTAAAGTATTTATAAAAAGGGCTTTTGTCAAACTGTTATTCAAAACAAAATATTTTATTCATATTCCAAAAGATATTTTTTTAAATGTGAAATAAATGTCATCAACAAGAACTTTTTTTATAGGTTGAAAATTGATTTCATTGATCTTTTATTCAAAATGAAACATTTCATTTATTTTCTTATCTTTTAAAAACTTTATATTTAATTGTATAAACAACAATCAGAACTTATACAAGATAAGAAAATTTGAAATGCAAACACTTACTAAAAAATAAGGGATTATTTACAAGGTAAAAAAAAATATATACTACACAACGGTAAAAAATAAATAAAACAAACATGCACTTTCAAAATATTAAATGTAATTCCTTAATTGAGATGTTAAAATTTATTTCCATAAAATGAAAATCTTGACAACAGTTATTCTTCCATGAAGCCATAGACATATGTAACAACATAAGTCTTTATTTAAATGTATCATTGATGTTAGTTAACACAGATGAAGTAAAAAGTTCTTAATACTTACGGAGAGGATGGTCCTTTATTGTCTTTAAGACAAAGCCTTTCTTCAAACTTGGAAAAACTCTCCACTGAATGCTGAATAGGTTCATCAGCCAATTGATTCTGAGAATTATTATTTGATGGCCTACCCCGCTTTCGTTTAATTTCAACATCATTTTTCTTGTTAGTTAATTGAGAAACAACCCTACAAAAAGACATTTCAAATTTATTTTTCATAATTGTCAGAAATAAATCAAATTAAATGCTAAAAAATGTGAAATAGAGTACAGAAATGTATATTAATAGAGAATAAAAATTTCTAAGTGTGTTTCAATGGTCAACATAAATTGTTTGATATTTCCATTCACTAAAATTCTATGCATACTATTTAATTTTATTCTAATTTCTTCCCTTCATAATTGATATTTAGCTATTTATTTGATTTATAATTTTTTTATTATATGTTTGACTACAATCATTTGAAAACACACATTGTACAGCTTTAATTCACCTTAAATTTGGTTTGCCACTGATTATTTTCATATTTTATTTCTGTTTTATTGTTTATCATTTAATCTCATGTTTTTAATGTTAAGAATCTTATTTATTAATTTGATTTAAATAAAATTTATATACAATTTGGTAATAAAATTGTGTTAGTTTCTGAGAAAATTTAAATTGCATTTTTGAAACTTTAACTTATCTCATGTGTAACCCATTTTTCATTCCCCCTAACAAAATAAGCATTTGGGATTTTGTAAGCATCTTATGAACATTAGCCTTTCTTTTTTAAAGCGTGGACCAAAAAAAAAAGTACGGTAGTTTAAAATTTGAAGGGGGAAAAAATAGGGAAACTCAAATGCAATCTGTTATTTGTTCTAGTTAAATAACAAATAACATGCATCTGATTGTGACAAATATCTTGCCAAGTTATAAAATAATAAAAATATTGAGAGAGAAATTATGCAGTTCATTATTTGTACAGGAATGTTATTGTAAATTAGGTCGACGTAATATAACATAATAGAAAAAGAAATAGTGTTTAAACTTTTTCTTTGTATGAGAATATTTTAAATTACTGGTTGACATTAAAAAAAGAATTTAAAAAAAAAAAAAAAAAAAAAAAAAAAAAAAAAAAAAAAA